AGCCTCGACCTGCTGGACTCTGGCGATCCTTCCACCTCAGCCTTCCGACTAGCTGGAACTGCAGGTGCGCGCTACCACGCCCGGCTGATTTTTTGATTTATTGTAGACATGAGGTTCTCGCCAAGTTGCCCAGGCGGGTCTCGAACCCGCGGACTCAGGCAATCCACTCACCTCAGCCTCCCAAGGCGCGGGATTACAGGCTGAGCCACCCAGCCCAGCCACATGGACCATTTATACAATGAAATACAATGTAAAAGAATGAGCTAGATCTGTATATTCTGATGTAGGAATTTATTTATGATGAAAATACTTTGCAAAATAATGTCTACATCTAAATTGATATGTACATGTGTAGCACGATCTTGCTTTAGTAAGATAAAGCAAAAGACTCTTGACTTGTGTGCAAATGTGTATATACCCCAAATGCTGAAAGTTGTCACCTCTAGGAATTAAGAGTAAGAGAAACAAAAGGGACTAGGCACAGTGGCCCATGCCTGTAATCCTGGCACTTTGGGAGGTCAAGGTGGGAGGATTCCTTGACCAGCCTAAGCAACATAGCGAGATCCTGTCTCTGCAAAAAATATAAACATTAACAGGCATGGTAGCACGTATCTGTGGTCTCAGCTACTGGGACAGCTGAAGCAGAGGAATCACCTGAGCTCAGGAGGTCAAGCTGTGGTAAGCAGTGATCAAGCCACTGCACTCCAGTCTAGGCCGCAGAGTGAGACCCTGTCACAAAAAAATAAATAAAAATAAATAAATTTAAAATAATGAATGAATTATTTTTTTAAAAAGAAGAACATGAAGAAGACTTTTACTTTATGTATTTGTTGAATTTTTGAACAAAAGCATATACGCCTTCCATAAATAAACATTTTGTTTTAGAGGAAGAGATCTGAAAACCTTTCATGACTCTCCTGTCACACTAAGAGTTAGAACAGACCTTCACTTCCCAGTCAACCTAATGGCTTCACCTGCCACCAGGTTATCCCAGTCTCAGTCCCATTGACTCCTGTACTTCCCAGACCACCAGATCTTCCTCCTCTCTCCACCTCTCCTGGAATACGCTTCCCTATCGGTTCCCTGGTTGCTTTCGATTCATCTTCAGAAGCAAGTTTGCAAGCTCCTTCCCCTGAGAAGACTTCTCCCCTCCCCCCCTAAGATGGGAGTAAGAGCCCCTGGATTCTCCTGTAGAACTCTGGGATTACCACTCTCACGGCAGTTGCCCCAGGTTATCATTTGATTTCTCCCTTGGTTTCTACCATGGACCCCACAGGGTCAGGAGCTGTATTTTTAATTTGTGTTTCTACTGTGCCTGGTACAGAGCTATGTTACATTAATATTCCTCGAAAGAGAATGAATGAATAAGTGAATTCCTACGAGTAATAAAATATTGACCCCCCCACCCACTGTATCATTTTATAGTCTAATATACCAGAACTTGAATATAGATTAATTAGGTCCACATTTGAACCCCTCTATTCTACCTTAGGTAGGTAGGTAGCTAGGTAGATAGATAAACTTAGAACCCCTAGCTTCATAGATGAGCTCAGAAGGGCCCTGTGCTTGGTTTAATATTCTGCTGTTACCACCTTGAAATTTTTTTTTTTTTTTGAGGAGTCTCACTCTCACGGCCAACGCAGCCTCGACCTGCTGGGCTCAGGCAATCCTTCCGTTTCAGCCTTCCAAATAGCTGGAACTACAGGCGTGTGCCACCACGCTCAGCTAATTTTTTGATTGATTATAGAGATAAGGTCTCGCCATGTTGCCCAGACTGGCCTCGAACCCGTGGGCTCAGGCAATCCTCTCACCTCTGCCTTTCAAAGTGTTGGGATTACAGGTGTGAGCCACCACACCTGGTCAGAAATTCTTAATCCTTTGGAACAAGGGACCTTGCTCTTTCATTTTTCACTGGAGCCTGTAAAGTATGCAGCTGGTCCCGAAGCCATTTATGTACTCATTATGATGATGGGTCTTAAATTATATGGGGAGCCTCTGTGGACCAGAAGGCCTGAAAGGTAGCAATCAAAGACCATGCACCAACAGTGGGGCCAAGTCCTGCCTTGTGGGAGAAAGGTTAACAACTGGCTTAACCCCTTATACTCCAGAGTTCTAATCCCTTCCAAGCAGCCCCCGTACTCTAGTGACTTCAGACATCATCTCAAACATCTTGGTCTTAATAAAAGGCAAGGAAACTCATGCGGAGAACACACCAAAACTTCCAGTTTTACCATTGTTAGCACCAATAAAAGATACCTCTGATTTTTTCTCCATAATCCCTATAGACTATCTAGTCTGATGGCTACTTTAGCTTTCACGTGACTTTCCCTGAATGACTCTAAAAGGAGAAAACATTTTCCTCTAAATCAATTGTTCCATTCTTTCAGGCGGTATAAACAAGAAGCTTTGCTAACACCCCTCTTCCTTACAATTTCTGAAGAAACTTCTTGATGCGATTTAGCTTTGTCACATTCTGTGAACTAAAAAAGGGAAACAAATTTAGCCTCAAGACTGTGTTTAAGTTTGGGGTTGATTTTTCTTTCTTTTTGTTTGTTCTTGCTGTCTTTTAGTGAGAACCTCTGTCTGTGTGCCTGCCAGGCGCTTCTAGATAAGATATCCTTTTTTTTCCTTGGAGAGCAAAGTCATAGTAGTCTTTTAATGAAGAGTCACACACAGGACGCAGACTTTCTTTCCGAATCCATTTTTATTATGATGAAGTAACAGAGGAGCAACCCAGGAAAGAATTATAACTAACAATAGAATTAAAAGCAGAAGTGTGGGTTTTCACAGATTTCTATCAGGCGGATATATGGTTCTTTGATGCTGATAGAATACTTGACCTCACTCCTCCCCAGAGAGCTGGGCAGTAGGGGAATTCAGGCGTGACCATGGAGTTATGACTTAGGGGGGCTGAACCCCCAAGGAAATAGCTTCTGTGCCTCAGTGTCTTTATGTGTAAAACGTGTTCATAGAATAAGTCACAATATGAGCACTTACTGCCAGGCACTGTGCTTAATGTTTTACATGCCCATATTCCTTCACTCAACAAATATTTATTGAGCACCTACTATGTGCAGGTACTCTTCTAGGCACTGGGGGTATAGCAGTGAACAAAGTCCTAATACTTCAGGATTGCACATTTACTGAATACACCCAAAGACCCTGTGAAGTCAGGATTATAGTTAGCCTGTTTGACTAACAAGTGGGTAAATAAAATCTTCCTCAAGGTTACACGTCTAGTAAGTGGTTGAGCTGGCATTCAAACTTAGATTCACCTGCCTCTCTGTAGCCTGTACTTTTCATCACTAGGCTATGCAGGGCCCCTGAAAAAAAGGAATAATTGGAACAGCCTACAGGGATGTTTTGAGGCCAAAGAACGAGAGGTTGGTAAGGTCGTTAAGTGGGAAGAGTACTCTGGAAGTCTCCCTAAAATCATACCCATGGGAGAGCGTAAATAAAGGAGGAGAACTACTTTTATCACCGCATGGCTTGTGAAAGAAGTTAAGGTTGACTTGGAATTTTTCCCCCAATTCAGGGCATGAGCAGCCTGTCATTTCATAGAATCATAGTTTTGAGGGCTCCAGGTGTGTATTTGGGAAACTCATGTGCTTAAGGACGTCCTGAAATGAGAGTTCAACACTGATGTTTGCACAGAACCATTCTAGAAACTATATTCCACGAAAAGATGAAAGTTCTTAACTTCTCTGCCACCCCAAAAACTTGCTGTCACACAAGAGTTGGCTAACGACTCTCCTGGTAAAAATTACACAAGTATAGTGCCTTGTACCAAATATGAATTCAGTAAATACTCGGAGATAAATACATGAGTAATTTTGATTCCCAGTCATATAATAAGCAGTCAAAAGCAATTATACCGGACTCAGCACTTCCCACTGGAGAAACCAGGACAGGTAAACATATCTCTCAGCACCTTCTTTAAAATGCAAAGGTTTGCAGAAAAAATGTGGAGCTTGAAGAAGGTCAGAGCAGACTGTTTTGCTGTTGTTCTTCTGGTGCTAACAGGAAGTTAAAATATTGACAAAGAAATGTACAAGCTGGACTCGGTGGCTCAGCCTGTAATTCTGTGCTTTGGAAGGCTGAGGTGAGTGGATTGCCTGAGCCCGTGGGTTCAAGACCCACCTGGGCAACTTGGTAAGCCCTCATCTCTACAATAAATCAAAAATCAGCTGGGCGTGGTAGTGCACACCTGTAGTTCCAGCTACTCGGAAAGCTGAGGTGGAAGGATCGCCGGAGCCCAGCAGGTCGAGGCTGCAGTGGCCGGGAGCGGCCACTGCACTCCAGTCTGGGCGACAGAGTGAGACTCCAACTCAAAAAAGAAAGAAAGAAAGAAAGAAAGAAAGAAAGAAAGAAAGGAAGGAAGGAAGGAAGGAAGGAAGAAAGAAAGGAAGGAAGGAAGGAAGAAAGGAAGGAAGGAAGGAAGAAGGAAAGAAAGAAAGAAAGAAAGAAAGAAAGAAAGAAAGAGAAAGAAAGAAAGAAAGAAAGAAAGAAAGGGACAAAGGGGCTTCAGTACAGATGAAAATCATCAGGGTCAAGACATTCCAGTCTAAAGTGCCTCGTTCAGCCTGAAAAAAAAAAATTGCCTTAGCCCAGTTTCTATTTTCCAAGATAAGGAATGATTTAAGGTCAGAGGATAGGAAATACTGATAAGCCTTTAAGTTCATTAACTCCCTCGCAGAGAGAGAGAGAACATGACCCATTTAAACATTCATATCTATTTACTTAGCCGTTTAAAATGGCACAGGGGTGGTGCCATTCCTAAGCCCCCTCCCAGCAGACACATGCTTCATTCCATGCACACACTGTCCCCTACCATTGTAAGTAGATCATATAAATGCTCCTGACTCCAATCAACTGGAAGCTTCCCATTTCCAACAGGGTGAGGAGGATACAGCTAAGAAAGAAAGGGGGTGGTATTTTCAGAGTCCTCACCCCCTTAGCATGGGTTAATTCTAAGTTGCCAGTCTGTCTGCCTCCATATTGTTGGTCTGTGTATTCAGTGCCATTCAACACATCTGGTGATCCCACTGAACCTCAGACTGGCTTTGGAAACTGGTTGCCACGCTGATGCAACTCTTGCGACAGAGGTTCGAAACTGGCATCTCTTCCAACTTTCGTGTCTTGGAGCGTCCTGGCCGCTTGGGTCTCAAACTGCAGATTTTGAGATTGGTGTAGAATTTGGGAAACGAGGGACTTGAAAAATAATATACCAAGGGATCTAGCATGCTGTTCATGTAGGTGAAACTGAGGGTGACGTGGAGGGCCACATGGATGGCGGGATCGCAGGCACTCGAGGACACTGTCCAGAGGAAATACAGTCTGGCCGACACGCTGGGCAGGTAACAGGTGATGAACACGACAGCCACCACCATGATAAACCGGGTTGCCTTCTTCATGCGAGTCTGTCTGGCCAATTGCCGCCTCTGCTTCAGGCTCCAAACGATCTTGAAAGAGCAAAACAAGATGATGCCAAGGGGCAGGAAGAACTCCAGTTGGAACATGATGTCGTGCCAGCCATTGGCTGACTCCATGATGAAGCTCTCACAAGAGATGACTGTCTCGTGCATACACAGATGACTCTCCATCAAAAGATACAGCGTCCCCAGGATGACCACGGTCCAGAGGGCACAGACAATGCCAGCTGCTGTCCGGTTGGAGATGGTGTTCACCACGTGGTGGGGGTGGACCACTTTGAAGTACCTGTCCACAGCCACCACCGTAAGGAAGACGATGCTCCCGGCCCTGTTCATGGCCAGCATGAAGAGCACCACCCGGCAGGGAATGTCCTCAAAAGCCCAGTGCCTGTGTCTGCGGTAATAGTCTGTCCGAAAGGGCAGGCAGATCATGAGGAGAAAATCAGCCACGGCCAAGTTGAAAAGGTAAATAGTGCTCGGCTTCCAGGTCTTCATGTGGAAGCAGAAGCCACACAGGGCGATCCCGTTGCCCAGAGCGCCCAGCACAAAGGCTAGAATGAGCAGGGGCGGCATCACCTGAGAGATGGGGTTCCCTTCAATGAGGCAGCATGATCCGTTGTGCATGACGGGGAGAGGACAAATGTCCTGGGTGCTGAGCGACCCTTGGAATCCCCACAAAGGCACAGATGCTTATCTGAACGCTACCACTCACCCATCTGCCGTGTGTCTGACTTCATCACCCAGGATGCAGGTCCCTCATGTGTGGGTGAGTCCCGCCACTGCACGGAGAAGAGAAACTTCAGCCAGGAAATGAGAGCCCCGGCGAGGTTCTTTCTCTCGAGCCTGAGTCACAAGTCGCCTGTCTCCCCCAGAAGCAAAGCCTAGAGTAGGGCGAGGCTTGGACAGGCATGCAGTTTCGCGTAAGTGGTCATTTCTGGGAGGCAGCCGGTGGGTCCGGTGAGATTCTTGCCGTACAGGAGTTGTTTGGTCTGGTCCCGGAATAATTTTTATTTTCGGCTTCACTCTTCCTCCTCGGACTCATTCTGCGATGGAGAGTGAGCAAAGTCAGCTGCCCAGAAAGCACGAAAAAAGCTTGTTTGTCCTCCCTCCTGGTGGAGAAACACAAACATTTCCTGGAGTCGTCCTGGGTCTCTGCCTTTGCTTTCCTCTCTTAACCTTTGCCTGACTACCCTGTCCTCCCTCATCCCACGGGGCACTCCCAGGCGGTGCCAGAGAGGGGAGGCTCAGCTTTGCAGCGTCCCAGAGCCATTTCCTGTGTCCACACCCCCAAAACACAGCACTCCCAAACTGGAAAGGTCTGCGGAGAAAAAAGTTCTAACATGACACTTGTTGGGGGTTCGAAAAGTCCTTTGCAGGGAGTCCCCTTTCCTCCCCTCCCTTCCCGCCTCCCTACCCTTTCATGGACCCAAGTGACCGGTTACCCAACCAGCAAGGCCATGAAATGGATCTGAAGCCCACTTCCCACATGGCTGTCTCTTTGGGAGTCAGTTTCCCCCCTGCTGGGAAGCACAACCCTGCACTTTTGCAAAGAGCATTTGGCTCTGTTTCCCATGGGCTGCTCAAAAGAGCCAAACACCAAGCTATGCATGTTTTTAATTTTAATTACGTGCTGAGCCCATAAATTAAAGTTGCCCCCTGGGAGCGGATAAGGATTGGAGAAGTTGGTTCAAGAGTCTATCTCGAAAATAATCATGGGTAAATTAGACTTCACAAAAAATTGGAGTCTTCGCTAAAATGTCCTGTCCTTTGGCTTTAAGGATTAAAGATATCTGCCCCGTACCTTTTAGCTCCCAGTCTAGAAAAGGGGATTGCAGGGGAAAGTGGGGGGGGGGGTGCATTGAAGGAATGCATGTCTTCTAGGTGCTTCTGAAAGCTGTCTTCTTCCCACTGAATGCTGGACTCCAGTCCACCAACATTTCCCACTGCCCCATGCTAGCACAGACCATGGACTGTTGAAACCTGGACTGTTGAAACAATTTCCTAACTGGTTTCCCTTCCTGTTCTCTGTAATCCTCTGTTCCCTTCCTGTTCTCCGTAATTCCTGTTCTCTGTAATTCATCTCCCACACGGCAATTTAATTTTTTCTAAAGCATCGATATGATTATATACCTTTTGCTCACTTGAAAAACTTTGCTAGCTCCCTTCAATCTGCCCAGGTGGCAGACTGATGGCCTGTGGGCCATAGCTGGCTCAAAAATCAGTTTGGTTTGGCCTGTATGTTTCAAAAACCTGGCACTGTCTTACAAAAACCTGGATTTGTGTCTTCTCTTAGAAAACTCGAAGATCTGGCCACACTGTCTAACAATTCCATGTAGTAACAATCAGCTGAAGCTGAAAATAGCTGACTCCTTCATCTTTTTGTGTTCTTTTTTAATACTTCTTCAGCCACCATAGCATAATAAGAACTTAAAGTTGCCCCCTTTAGACAGGGCATGTGTTCTGTTGCTTGCCACAGTCTCCACCATTCCCTATTACCTTATATCTGTCTCATATACATACCTGGTCACTGTGGGATTTTGAGTTTGTCACCTCTGCTGTAGGTTAAAGGTCACATTCCTTGGACTGACATACAAGGTCCTTCATAAGTGATTTTTTTTTTTGAGTTGGAGTCTCACTCTGTCGCCCAGACTGGAGTGCAGCAGCCATTCACGGCCACCGCAGCCTCTACCTACTGGGCTCTGGCGATCCTTCCGCCTCAGCCTTCCGAGTAGCTGGAATTACAGGTGCGTGCTACCACGTCCGGCCGATTTTTGATTTATTGTAGAGACAAGGTCTCGCCAAGTTGCCCAGGCAGGTCTTGAACCCGCGGGCTCAGGCAATTCACTCACCTCAGCCTCCCAAAGGCACGGATTACAGGCTGAGCCACCAAGCCCGGCTTCATAAGTGGTTTCTGACCTATCTTTCTAGTATCATTTTCCTGCCACTTTCCTTCTCACACCCTATTTATTAGTCTCATAACTTCTAATAAATAAACGTGTTCATCAAACATCTGCACTTAGTCCCTCCACTAACGCAGAAGCTCCTCGAAGACAAAATTCAGGCCAGGCTTGGTGGCTTAGCCTGTAATTCCAGCACTTTGAGAGGCTGAGGTGAGAGGATTGCCTGAGCCTGCGGGTTTGAGATCAGCCTAGGCAACTTGGCGAGATCTTGTCTCTACAATAAATAAAAAATTAGCCGGGCATATATTCTTGGCAGGTCGGGGGCTGGGTGGGAGTAGAATATAGATCTGAATGACTAACTTCTGCTTTTTATGGGAGGTCACAGCAGCTGCGTTTATATTGTGGGCCTTTGTAATTCTGTGAGATATTAATTAACAGAGGTGACCATTGTAGACTGAAACACCCCAAGACAGGTTAGATGGGTAACCTTGAATACATTCATATGTTCAGGCTGGATTTTTCAACAAATGGAAAGTAGTCTTCATTCTGTATTATCAGATACTGTCAGGATTCTTGTAAAACAAGTACTTCCGCTTTTTCCACATGACTAACACCTGCCTTTCTTTTTCCCACATCCTTTCTATCTTGTCAAATCACCTTCCTCTCACCTCCTTTGGCTGTCAATTAACTGGAAAGCAGAGGATTAAGGAAGAAAAGATTGGTTTCTCTTTCTCTGTAAGTCAGTGGGCTTATCAGAAGCTTCAAGAAGATAGTATTTCTTTCTTGTTGTACTATATGCTTGAGACCACGCTTGGCACCCTATTTTGTGCTTCAAATTAAAGTCTATTTAGCATTTAAAATGAAAGTCTATCAAAAAATTAACTCAAAACAGATCCATAATCTAAATGTTAGAGCTAAAACTATAAAACTCTTAGAAGGCTGGGCACGGAGGCTCATGCCTGTAATCCCAGCACTTTGGGAGGCCAAGGTAAGAGGATTGCCTGAGCCCACAGGTTTGAGACCAGCCTGGGCAACTTGGCGAGACCTCATCTCTACAATAAGTCAAAAAAATTAGCCAGGCGTGGTAGCGCCTGCCTGTAGTTGCAGCTACTTGGAAGGCTGAGGTGGAAGGATCACCTTAGCCTAGCAGGTCGAGGCTGCAGTGGCCGGAAGCATGCTACTGCACTCCAGCCTGGGCGATGAAGTGAGACTCCAACTCAAAAAGAAAAAGGAAAAAAAAAAAAATAGGTGCTGGCAAGACTGTGGAAAAATCGGAACCCTGTGCATTACTGGTAGGAATGCAAAATGGTATACCCACTGTGGAAAACAGTATAGTAGTTAATAAAAAAAAAATTTTTTTTTTGAGCCGGAATCTCACTCTGTCATCCAGGCTGGAGTGCAATGTCATGGTCACAGTCACCGGCAACCTGCTGGGCTCAGGTGATCCTTCCACTTCAGCCTTCCAAGTAACTGGAACTATAGGCATGCACCACCACGCCTGGCTAATTTTTTGATTTATTGCAGAGATGAGGTCTCGCCATGTTGCCCAGGATGGTCTCAAATCTGTGGGCTCAGGCAATCCTCTCGCCTCCGCCTCCCAAAGTACTGGGATTACAGAAGTGAGCCACTGCACCCAGCTCCCTCAAAAAAGTTAAACATTGGTTTGCTATATGATCCACCAATTCATTTTCTGGGTATATACTCAAAAGAGTTGAAAGCAGGGACTATTATTTCTAAATCCCTGTATGTATTTTAAAAAATAAAAAAACAGACTGGACAGATATTTGTACCGCCATGTTCTTAGCAGCATTATTCACAATAGCCAAAAGGGAGAAGCAAACCAAGTTGCTGAATGGATAAAAAGAATGTGGAACATACATACAATGGAATATTACTCAGTTTTATTTTTATTTATTGATTTATTTTGAGTTGGAGTCTCACTCTGTCATCCAGACTGGAGTGCAGTGGTCACTCCCGGCCACCGCAGCCTCGATCTGCTGGGCTCCAGTGATCCTTCCACCTCAGCCTTCCAAGTAGCTGGAATTACAGGCATGCGCCACCATGGCTGGCTGATTTTTTTATTTATTGTAGAGATGAGGTCTTGCTGCCCAGGTGGGTCTCGAACCCGCAGGCTCAGGCAATCCACTCACCTCAGCCTCCAAAAGCACGGGATTACAGGCTGAGCCACCGAGCCCGGTTATTACTCAGTTTTAAAAAAGAAGGACACATGCTACAACATGGACCAAGTTGCCCAAGCTGGTCTCAAACACCTGGGCTCAGGCAATCCTCTCGCCTTGGCCTCCCAAAGTGTGAGATTACAGACTGAGCCACTGTGCCCAGTCTCTTATAATTGTATTTATTTAAAATTTTTAGTTCAAACCGGGCTCGGTGGCTCAGCCTGTAATCCCGTGCTTTTGGAGGTTGAGGTGAGTGGATTGCCTGAGCCCGCGGGTTTGAGACCCACCTGGGCAACTTG